CCCCGGCCCCGGCGCCTCCGCCCCCGCCGATGGCCCTAGAAAGGGTCGTGCGCGGCCACCACGCAGGGACAGCCGGGGCAGAGGGAGCCGCCGTCCTTGTTCGGGGAGAAAATCCCCCTGCAGCTCCAGGGGCTGAGAGCCCCACATTGCTGCAGAGGGGAAGGACAAGGGGAGGTGGCCGGACAAGGTGATGATGACTCCGGTTGCCTCTGAGGGTGACGAGGGTGCCGAGCGCGGGGCGTTGTGCAACGGCCTGGGCTGCGCGGACCCGTCCCTCCCTGCTTGTCCCATCCAGGCCAGGGGTGACATGGGGGCTGCTTCGCTCAGCCCTCGCGTTCCCTCCTCCTCCTCACCCCTGCGTGCGCTTTCCCACCACGGCTCCTGCTCCGCCAATCTCTGCTGGTGGGCCGCACGGCAGCGGGTTCCCTTATCACCTGCCGACCTTCTCCCTGGGGCTGCCGGGAGGGACTGGGAACGGCACCGAATCCGTCGCCTCTTTATCTTCCCTCTGTGTCCAAGGCTGCAAGGAGAGGTCTCCGGGCTTCCCCACGCGCTGCTTATCTGGCCAGCTTTGCCCAGGGAGCCCTTTCACATGGATAGATTAGGAGGAGCAAGGGCGGGAGGGAGAAGCAGGAGCTTTTATTAGAGCAGCTGTGATAACCAGGAAAAAAAAACATGGATGTGGTCCCAAGTCAGGGTTTCTTGGCTGGGATGCAGGGGCCTCATGGCAGCTCAAGAAAAGGCTGTTCCTCCACTGCAGCCTCCTTGGCCCCAGCGTCCTGGCCACTTCCCCACTTCGGAGGCCACTTTGGAAAATTGCTCCTGTTCCTTGGAGACCTTGAGAAAAAGCCCCCGCTCCTGCTGCTTCCCCATTGCACTCCCTGGGCACAGTCGCGTGCTCTTGCATGGGCTCCAAAACTTCCCCTGCGGAGCAGCACGGAGTTGTTCTCATCCCTCCCTGCCACCCAGCATGTCCCTGCGAGCCCAAGCGTGTGGCATGGCCTCAGCACCCAACCCCTCCGGAGCCACTGGCAGCTCTGGGGTCTGGATCCCATCCCCAGCCTCCCTGCCTCAGTTTCCCCAGGCAGGCACTGTCCTCGCGGTGGGGGTGGATCAACCACCAGATCAATCTGCATCCATGTGGAGCTTGCCTGGAAAGCAGGGAAAAAAGAAGGAAAGGGGAGAAGAACAGGTCCCTCCCCCCAGTGCTCTGGGCTGCGCTGGGCCTCCGCTTCCTGCTTTTCCTGGATGACGGGTGCCTTAGTGGTGCTTACGCAGCAGCCGGTGCTCGAGGTGCATGAGGGGATCTCTGAGTCACGGGAAGAGCCATCACTTGCTGTCCCTGCACAAGCCTGGTGGGCTCCATGGGCCAAGCACCCGCATCCCGGGACAGAAGGAGGGGGGTCTGGCCACGCTGCCCTGGAACCTCCAGGAGGGCTCACAAGTTGTGTCCTCCAATCGCCACCTTGCAAAGGAGTTTTTACGCTCCCAATACGGAGCCCCCATCCTGGGATGTTCCGAACTGGAGCAGGGCTGCCCCTTGGTGGGTGCACTGTCACCCACTCTAGGCACCCTGGTGAGGTCGTGCAGCCGAGCAGTGCCGCAGCGTCCCGAGGCGTGCGGAAGCGTGCGGAAGCGTGCCAGGAGCGTGCAGAGCTGCCCAGGCCATGCAGTGTTGCCGGTGCCCAGGAGATGGCAGCTGGAGCCCAGCGATGGCCTGGGCAGAGGCACCTCCTTCCCTGGCAGCTTCTGGCGAGGGGGACCCTGTGCCCCGGACCCACCAGGCTGAGGCCATGGGCAAAGCTGCACCTGGGTTTGGGGCATGTCCCACTCGGTGCCGGCCCTCGCGGCAGCCCCTTCCTGGAGCCCATCAGGATGTGGAGCTCAGCCTGGGGATGAGCCAGGGGCCAAGGACAGGGCTGAGCACGAGCGGCCTCGTGACAGGTGCTGGCACCGCGCCGCCTTTCGGTTTCAGTCTTTCCTAGCGACAAGGGGATGGATGGGGTAGGGATGGGACTGATGGGACACGGGGAGTGCGCTGAGTCTGGGATGAGCGCCCCAATGGACCTCACCCGCTTGGCAAAGTTGAGCAGTGCAAGGGCTGGAGGAGGCCCCAGAGCTGCTCCCAGGCCACCAGCAAAGCGGGAGGATGTGAGAGGCCGGAGGCGACGCTGCAGCCCGCGATCCAGCCCGCTGCGGGAGGAAGAGGGATGGGACTGATGGGACACGGGGAGTGCGCTGAGTCTGGGATGAGCGCCCCAATGGACCTCACCCGCTTGGCAAAGTTGAGCAGTGCAAGGGCTGGAGGAGGCCCCAGAGCTGCTCCCAGGCCACCAGCAAAGCGGGAGGATGTGAGAGGCCGGAGGCGACGCTGCAGCCCGCGATCCAGCCCGCTGCGGGAGGAAGGCGTAGGGGAAATTCATCATCTCATCGCTTTCCACAGCTCGGACGGGTGGGCTGCTGCAGCCCTGCCACGTTGGGACCCCCTGGCACCCCTCCAGGGGCCATCGGAGCCCAGAGACCCATCGGCAGAGCCAGCAGGGCCGGGGCCGCACGGGCCAGCTCCGAGTGTCCAGGCTGGAGCCCCACACAACAAGGGGCAGTGGGACCCCCCCGGAACCCACTCGGGACACCTTGCGAGG